GTATCTTACACAGTCTTGCACATGAAAGGTTGTAATCCTATAATAATACTCCTTTCAGGGTCAGATTTTGCTCTGCGATTGGCATGGGAAATATGTATGTGGATACACAGATTTGAGTTAACAAATGGACAACCAATTGTTTTCATGGCCTATTGGCTGTGTTCATACATTTTAAAGATGTGGATAGCACCACATTGGCTCGATACTTGAATAATTTTATGTTGCTAAGAATGACTTTATGAAAGAACAGACCTCCTATATCCCCTTACTGTTCTACAGTGAGCCATTTATCCCACTTGGTGAATTGGATGAAATTGCTCCTATCGGTTCTGCTCCTTCATCTCACAGATATTTATGGGGGCTCCTTTGAGCCCGACACAGCCACCGCTGCAGAGGACTGTGTCCCCTGTGCACAGCATGTGAGCCGTGCAGTCATCACGGTAGCCTTGACTGAAATGGTCGCCCCAAACCAGTGTCTCTGATCACTTTAAGATGTGAACATGTTAAATAAAAAACATAGCTTTTCAATACAGAGATATTTTCCTTTTCTCAACAGTATTTTAAATCCTGTAGCATTAGCTAAATTAATGATACTACCAATAAAATTACCATATGCCATGTGGAGATAATTTAAAATATTCCTCAATAAAATGATATGCATGTCTCTAAAATTAAATAGGGATATATATATATAAGCGATAGGTATATGAATGGATCTTGAGCTCAAGCTTAATTGTAGCTCTAGTCTAAGGACAATTAGCTCTTTATGACATGGCCCTATTCCATACTTAGCCCAATGAAGAGATCACTGAAAATACGGGTGCTATCGCAAAGCGTGGAGACATCAGATGCTGCCTGCTGTATCAGAATGACTACAACTGGGGTTTTAAAGGCTCGTCTTAAAACACAACACAATCTAAGTGAAGTGCCAGCTAAGTCCAGACAGAAGCACACCAACCTGTGTGATCCAAAGACTAGAAATAATTAGATCCAAGACCAGTGTGGGGAATGGTATTGGAGTTTAAATTCTGAGCATCCAATTACCACCCAAAAGTCTGGATGCGAGTGGAAGCCTAAAATCCATTTGCCGTGTCCCCGCGAGCATCATACCTCCGATGAAGCCCCTCTTGCCGTTGAGTGAAGATGTGAGTAGCTCTGCAAATGGCCAGAGTGCAGTGGAAAGTGGATCAGTGCAGATGCGTCTAGGTTAAAATTGAACAACTTATGATTTGTTCTCCCTTCTGACCCGTTTTAAATTTGTTCTAGTTTTTAACACTTTCTGCTTTCTTTTTGATCGACGGTTTTCTCTGTTTTATTTTGTTATTGTTGTTGTGTGTTTTGTTTTTGTTTGGGTGTGTTTTTCTATATGTGAAATCCAAATCTATAGAAGATAGGTAGGATGAATAATCTCGAGGAGAAAACTACAGGACCAGTGGTTCTGGGGGGACATGAGAAAGGAGGGGCAGTGGGGAGCCAGTAAACTGAGAGAAAAGAACAACAAGAGATCTAGAATTGGTGATGAAGAGGACATGTAATGCTGGTGGGACTCGATCAAAAGCCATGTGTCCCAGAGAAAATACTGAGAGCCAAATGGAGGGTGAGCACAATAGTGGAACAGGAGAGAGGTAAAAGGAAATAAAGGAAAGAAATAGGAGGCAAAAGCTATTTAGAGAGGTATAGCTCTAGGCATGTATATATGTTAGCATACTCATAATGAAAAGGAAAGAGGCCAATGTACATATATTTATATAATACATATTAAGATAGAACAGAGTTTGGGCCTCTACTCAAGGCCTCCCTTAACACAAGAACACTTTGTTCTGATAACCTGGCACTCTTTGATACTCACCTTCCCAACACGATTGCTGAAGACAAAATGGGTGCATAAGAAAATGTGGTGGCGAGTGGATGGTGCCCAGCTATCAAAAGATAATAGCATCTGGGGTCTTAAAGGCTTGAAGTCAAACAAGCAGCCATCTAGCAGGGAAGCAAGTAAGTCCACATGTAAGAAGCACATCAGCCTGTGTAATCATGAGGTGTCAATGGGATCAAGCATCGGGTATCAAAATATCCAAAGCAAACAACTATATTGATGCAAAAGATGGGGGTTAGAGTGGAGACCCAAAGTCCATCTGTAGACAATTGGATATCCCCCCACAGAAGTGGCGTAAGGAAGGGACAATTCAACCAAGGTGCAGTACAGTATTGGCAAATCACACATCATTCCTCTAGATCCTGAATACTTCCTCCCCACCCCACTCCTCCACCCCACTTCCATGACCCAGTTCAGTCTTACAAATCTTGCTAGACCAGAGAACACACATTGGTACAGATAAGAGCTCTCAACACATGGAATTCAGGAAAGCTAAACTACTCAGGAACAGTAGTGGGAGTAGCGATATCATGCATGTTATCTATTTATCCACTCCGATATGTTTATAATGTCCATACTCAACATAATAAGATAGCAAAAAATTCCCCTATTATAAAATGCCAGTGCAACTCAGTGACATTAATTTTGTTCATCGTGTTTTTTCTTAACTGCCATCATTATACATTTCCAAATTTTTCCATCACCCTGAACAAGTCAGTAACTCCCTACCCACTGCCATCCCTCCACCCAAGCACTGGCTCTCACTGGCTCTCTCTCCCACCTTTGTCACTCCCCACAGACTGGTCTTCACACAGTTGCTGCTCTCGATGCTGCATGTGAGTAGACTCATGCAGCATTTCCACTTCTGTGACTGACTTTCACTTAACATATTCTTCTCAAAACCCATTTGTGTTTTCACGTGAATCAGGACTTCATTTCTTGTTATGATGGATGAATATTTCATTTTATGCAAATGGCATGTTTTGATTTTTTTCAGTCATCTGGCGTGATAGACAATTAGGTTGTTTCTTCTTTTTCGTTATTGTGATTAATGCCATAATGGACATTGATGTCTGTATATCTGTGCCCATGCTTTTAGTTCTTTTGAAGGTGTGCATATATTATGGTATTGCATATTTTATATTATTACATATATGAATATGGTAATTATATATAAGTCAACATTTTCCTTTACATAAAGAAAATCACGAGTGATAAAATGATCGTTAATCATAAAAGAACATGTATAAACGCATTTTATATATCCTTACTTTAGTGAGACAGGTCTATTCCGTTTTATTAGTTTGTACTGGCTGAGTACTTAGTGTTTGAATACTATGTAGTTGTTTACACAGATTTTGTATGTGACATATAATTAATCAATGTAGAAGTAGTGATTGAATAGCAAATAATATTCCAAATCCAAATATTTGGGGCTTAGCTATCTTATCATGATGACTAAGAATTATGCAGTTGGCAAACAGCAGAGAAAGGCTGTGCTTCTGAATCCTAGTACAATTCTCACTTAAAATAAAAAAGCTGTAATCTAATCTTTTTCTTCCCACGTGTTTGAAAACCTGCTAAATCCCATGGGACCCATAAAGAACTACATTACCTAGACCTTGCCCTCAGGACTAATGCAACTGAAATCCAACTTACATGCCTGCTTATGAGCAGTGCAAGTGGTGGCACAGATTTAAAACTGCAGTGCCTAACACGGTGCCTCCCACAAAGAAGACAATCAAGAAATGTCTGTCTTGACAGACTGGCAGGGAAAAAGGTGGAAGGAGTGACAAATTATAGTTCCACGTCACGAATGGCTGAATTTCAATAAATGTCCACTAATTTACGTGACGTGGTTGGAGAATAAGGAGAAGATAGTCGTAGATTGTACCCAGGCCTTACGGAGCCCAGAGAACCAACTTCTAATCTACAAAGATGAGGGGACTTCTAGCCCAGCAGCTTAGCGCCAGCAGACAGTGAGGCAGGAAGAACGAGGCCCGGCTGGGGACTGTCCCTTGGTTTGAACAGAGAACGGGACTGCATCCGACAGCATCTTGAATTTCAAGGAGGAATATTCACAGAACATTCACAGAATCCATAAACATGAGCAGCCATGGGAACTTTTTACATAACACAAGTAATGCCCAGGCAAAGGATGTTCTCAGCAATGAATCTGAGAAATGTGTGTGCACATGCGGGCGTGTGTGTGTGTGTGAGTGAGAGCGAGAGAGAAGATAGGAGACAGTTGAGTACAAAATGGAGATTGTAAGTATTCAGCGGGAACTGGAAGTGTTTCCAGAAAGAACTGTGCATGGAAGCACCAGTACATCCTCTGTCAGCAATTTCTCCATACAACTGCAACTTCGGAGACAGTTATGTCAGTTCAGCTGTAGATCACTGAGTAGCCTCGTTGAGAAGTAAAAGATCACAACGCTCAAAGATAAGAAGCTGGCATAAAAGTCGAGAGCCTTCAAATATATCATGCATAGAGATTAATAAAATTTTGCATACTATAGGGGAGATCATTTATGTCTTCGGGGCTGTTAACCTAATTACTAGATATGTCAGAACATTGCTATTTCTTGCATGTAAGCTCCTAATACACTCTGGGAGTTGCTGCACGGTAAGAAGGCGTGTGCGTCATCACTTGCAGAGCTGATGAAACTTGTCCTCATGGAAGTGGCAGCAACAGCAGAACCCTGGAGTGGCACTGTGGGTTAGAATTCAGCACCCTCACTTGCTTGTCAGTCTTGTCCACATTTGTCCCTCTTCCTCAGCTTCCTCCATTGTGACTGATGGTGATCATAATAGTACTGATTTAAGATTTGGAGGGAGACCCAAATGTAAAGCTGTTGAATCAGTGTCCAGCATATGATATGGTAAAACATTATATATGACAGGCACCACATCAGTAATAATGTGCATTAGCTTATTTTTTATTCTGGTAATATATTATTCATCTTGTGGCTTTCAAACTCTGGCAGAAGGACTACTAGGCTTGTGTCCTAGAAATACACGGGATTGTGTCGGGAGCCTCCCCGGAGTGACGGTGCCGCTCGGCCCCTGAGTATTGCTTGTCCCAAGCCCAGGTGAGGCTGACTGTGTGTCTTCTTGCCTCCCACAGTGAGTCACCTCTATGGGTTTGGACTGATGGATGCAGAGGCCATGGTGACGGAGGCGGAGAAGTGGACCACCGTTCCCCAGCAGCACGTGTGTGTGGAGAGCACAGACCGGAAAATCAAGTAATGCTTGTTGCACTTGAGCACGTAGCAGTACCCTGAAGAGGGCGGGTCAGCATGCGCGCACACTCATGTCCTTGTCTTCCTACTGTCGGTAGAAGATGTTAATAGACTGTTCAGGACTGTAAGTTGTTAAATGCACATTGAGGCCATGGCCATCATGTCATTCCCAACCCTACAGGACAGAGTAGAACTGCTTCTTTACATCTCCAAGGCTGTAAATCTTTGAGAGCAAGCAGCTTCAATCTTTTTCTTTCAGAGGGTCTTGTGGGTTTGAACCACTGACCTTGCAGTTCGCAGCCCAGTGCTTAACTCGCTGTACCACTAGGGCTTTTTAAATCCGCATTTGTGCAAGCCATTTCCATTGCTTTTGAGCTGACTTTGACTCTAGCAATCCTGTGTGTGTCATGATAGGGCTGTGCTGCAACCGCCAAGCCTTTCCTCCGCAGCACCACTGTGTATTCTTATTAGCCAAGTACGAATCACATGTGCCACAGAGAACTTCAGTATAACCCAAAAATCCTTAGAAGAAAGACATTTTTTTAAAAAGTGGATCTGGGGAGCTCTTCAGAGAGGGGCATCTGTAAGCATTTTACTCTGTTTTTATTTGAGGTTGGAAATCATCTCCAGAAGTTAATATAGCCCCAAACATGATGACTCACATGATGTTGTGCTTCAGAGTGGTGTAAATATAGACCCTAGATCAGTGGTTCTCAACCTGTGGGTCGTGACCCCTTTGGAGGTCGAACCACCCTGACACAGGGGTTGCCCAATCCATAACAGTAGCAAAATTACAGTTATGAATTAGCAACCAAAATAATTTTATGGTTGGGGGTCACCGAGGAACTATTAAAGGGCATTAGGAAGGTTGAGAACCACAGCTCTAGATGAAACCCAAGGGCCTTGTGCTTCCTTCCCCTCTTCCTGAGGCTCAGACTTGGGTGGTGTGCTGACAGAATTGGGTAGCATCTCTCCTGGAGGCCAAATCTGAGGAACAGGATTCCTTTGCCGTGGTTTTGATGAGTGTGTTAGTCCGAGTAGACTAGAGAAACAAAATTCGTACACTCATATGTATAAGAAAGGGCTTTATATAAACAGTAATTGTATATTAAGAAGACATCCCAGAACAAGTCCATAAGTCCGATATTAGCCAATATGTCCGATATCAGTCTATAAAGTCCTCTTCAGACTCACACAACACATGCAAGCACACCGAATGCAGGAAGATCACAGGCCAGTGGGTGGAAAGTCTTGGGGATCCAGAAACAGTGTGAGCATCTCAGCGCTGGTGTGGGTCTTCACGTGGCTCCTCCAGCTCCAGGGCTCTAGCTCCATCAGTGTAGATCCATCTGGCTTGTCATCAGGAATCTTTCTAAGGAAGACAAGTAGAGAGTGTATCTGGCCTCCAGTGAGCTATTATCTCCTTAGTGCCCCCAAGCCAGGTCATCAAGCTGAGACCTGATTGACAGGCTCAACTCCACCCCTTTGCAAGTTGACGGGAGATTACGTAACTGCCACAGCGAGTGTTTAGCTCTTGGATTTCTTTTCCGAGTCCATCCCACCCCAAAATCCCCTCACTAAAGCATATTTCTCAACTTTGTTTCTTTTTTATATACAAATCACTTTATTGGGGACTCTTACAGCTCTTATAATCATACATCAAATATGGCAAGCACTTATGTACATATGTTGCCATCATCATTTTCAAAACATTTTCTTTCTTTGTGAGACCTTGGTATCAGCTTCTCTTTTGTCCCTCCCCACCCCAACTCCATGCTTATGAACCTTTGATAAATTATATTGTTTTCATATCTCACATCAGCCACTGTCTCCCTTCACCAAAATTTCTGTTATTCGTTCACCAAACTTTGGTTTCGCATGGAAAGTAGAGCCATTCTCGGTCTTGAAGACACTTCCGAAGAAGGAGGGATAAATGAATTAAAGTTGGCTTTTCATTCAATGTGTGGCAAAGAATGAGGGGAGAAACCAAGCTGTGGAATGTTAACATTATTAATTGAGCACTTCTGGGCAGAGCCCATAGACGTTTCATATGTATTTTCTTTTTAAATCTTCATAGCAGCTTAAGTATTATCCCCACTTGAAAAATGAGGAGACAGGATCCACAGGGATTATTTCTTTATTCAGCAACCAATTTACGAATTCAACAACTACATTCCTTGCACTAAGCTGCATATTAGTGACAAAGAGGAGAGTAACAAATACTTTCTACCTGACAGTCTCAGGAGATGCAAAGTAAAAAATAAAAGTAGATACTTACAAGTTACAATAAATGAATGTTGAAATTAATCATTGTATTTGGGGCACATACAACTCTTAGCACAATCCATATATACATCCATTGTGTCTAACACATTTGTTACCCTCATCATTCTCAAAATATTTGCTCTCCACTTAAGCCCTTG